CTTGCCTTGCCCTACAGCATATTAACTAGCAAATTAGCCATGAAATATATTTTATTTATTAATTCTAAATTTTACACCAGCCCTTCCACTATTTGCCTGATGGTGGTCGTTCCTGGAGATTAGATACGATACGAATGCCGTCCACGCGAGGACGTGATGCCTTCGCCTTTATTTGCTTTCGGCTTTTATATCGGTTTTATATCGCTTTCGATACGATAAAGGATTCGAGGAAAATATTTAAAATTAGCATTTTAGATTCTTAACAGTAATAAAAGCTGAGTACTAACGCTTCAGAGGTGTGGCGGAACGCAGCTCAGAATAAAGTGAAACACTAGATTCAATACCACAACCCGTATATTAGTGGTTAGAGCTATGGAATTTTAATTAGAGGTGTCAGACTGCCTGATGTGAAGCAGAGTAGAGATGTTAAAATTTAACGCATTTGCGCATATCATCTTTCTGAGGGTCATTAGTTGTGAGTGGCATTTTGTCTGGTGGCAACTGCCAACCTATTTACCTGTCAACCAGTCTACTTATTTAGCAGTCTGTCTACATGTATCCTGTTATAATTTTTTACCTGAAACGTAAAGACATGCAAAAAATTTCATTTTCGATTTTAGTAATAGAATGTTAATAATAGAATGCCATTCTACTGGTCAAGATATCGAAAATCAGAAGTTGATAAAGATATATGGTTTAGTACGGATCAGCTACATCAACTCTAAGAAGAAGAATTATGTTGGTCATAATGAAGTGAAAAGAAAAGTAAACTGAATCGCAACCATATGTAGTAAAGAAAAAGTATGAAGAAGATCGCAGATCATGAGCCCCTCAAGAAATGATAAAATAAATAGTTGAAAGTCTAGATATGGAAGCAGAAATTCTCTCTCTCTCCATGAACCTGACTTTGGGCACCATTATTACCAATAATACGACTATCAATGATACTTTTCCAACGTGCATGCATTCACATACTTCATTGTCTTCCATCTAGGTACTCGAGAATCTGGCTTATGTCAAAGTAATTTAACGGACCAATATATTTTCACTCCGGCTGCAGGAACAGTTACGAAGAAGAATTTGTAGATAGTTAGAATGCACGTACCCGTTCTTATTTATATAAGCCGAGAGAGCCGGATTTTATGCCAATACGTTATTTCTTTGAATTTAATAGCTTTCCACTTCATTATCGTTAATGTCAAGTTAGTTAAAATCATTTTCAATCTTTGCTGAATGAATATCTTAATAATAGAAAGAAATTTTGAAGTTGTGAAATTTATTGTGCTGTAAAATTTAATGCTAGTGAACAAAGCGTAAAAATTTTATTGCTCGATACTCAGAGGAAGTTGAAAATCTCTCCGAACTTAATTCCAGAATTAACATATTAAAGATATAGTTTCCTTCATTCGAATTCTAAAATACAAAATGTTCTGCCAAATATAAATCATTTCTTATTAACCTATGACATATTCCTAACATATTGCCTATAGATGTATAAGGTTACCAATTT